CATTCCTGTGTTCTTTAGGAAGGGCAGTGTAAATTAAAGCCTTTAAAATAACTTTATTTTTATTTTTACATTATTAAACTATGTAGTTGAGAATTAAAGACCACCTTGCTAGTAAGCAAGAGATGAGATAAAAAGTTCATAAACTTTAAATTGTATGTCAAATATCAGTTACGTTAACTGTGTTAGGGGATAGTATTCTTATAAAAGAGTCAATATTTGGCTCCTCTCTAGTATTATTCATATAATCAAGTCTTTTTTGAAAGCTTTGCCCTATTTGGTAGTAACAAAATGCTTGTTTTATAATCTGTCTTATAAATTATTATAGATGGATATTGGAAATACAAAATATTTATGTAATAGTGTAGGTCACCTCATCATGATTACTGAAAAATAACTATTGATGGTAGATCCATATGCACATGCCTAGCAAAGGATTACCTGAAGTATTAAAAAAGTTTATGAAATGCAGTACTTATATTATTGGTAAAATGTCCTATAAAAAAGTATTTAAAAGGGTTCTTTTTTCTTTTTCTTTTTTTTCTTTTTGGCTGTGTTGGGTCCTCGTTGCAGCGCGCGGGCTTCTCATTGCGGTGGCCTCTCCCGCCGCGGAGCACGGGCTCCAGGCGCATGGGCTCAGCAGCTGTGGCTCGCGGGCTCCAGAGAGCATGCTCAGGAGTTGTGGCACACTGGCCCAGGTGCTCCACGGCATGTGGGGTCCCCCCAGACCAGGGCTCGAACCCGTGTCCCCCGCACCGGCAGGCGGACTCCCAACCACTGCGCCACCAGGGAAGCCCTAAAAGGATTCTTTTTTTTTTTTTTTTGCGATATGTGGGCCTCTCACTGTCGTGGCCTTTCCCGTTGCCGGGCGCGCAAGCTCAGCGGCCACGGCTCACGGGCCCAGCCGCTACGCGGCATGTGGGATCCTCCCAGACCGGGGCACGAACCCGTATCCCCTGCATCGGCAGGCGGACTCTCAACCACTGCGCCACCAGGGAGGCCCCCTAAAAGGATTCTTGAATGAATTTATTTAGATATTTACTTAAAATAAGATTTTCCTATGCTTGGTTGGTCTTTGTCTCTTTTAGTAAAAATATTTTTTAAAGTATCACTGACTATATTTTTAAAAATTATTTTCTTTATTTTTATTCTTTTTAGACTCTTTTAAAATAGTTTTGCGTTTCATATAATGAGTTCTAAATTTAGCCTTTATTAGTGTTTTCTTATGAAGAAATTAAAGTCTGTCCTTCAGACCCTTTCAGTTATTAGCTCTTTTTAATCACCTCTAAATTAAAAAATTATCTCTAGTTAGGAAAATCAGAATTGGGATACCAATAACTAAAAGTTTTCTCAGAAAAAAAAGCAAGGAAATAATCTTGCTTTTTGATATTATGTGTATTTTTAAAGATCTTTTCAAAACTCTTGAACCAGCTTTATCCTTGTTTATTTGAATATGTGGGAACAAAGTAACTTTCTTCCACATTAAATTTAATGAGTATTTATTTTCAATATAGCTGATATTAACAAGGCTCTTCTTGCCAAGAGAAAAAGACTAGAAATGTATACCAAGGCTTCTCTCAAAACCAGTAACCAGAAAATTGAAAATGTTTGGAAAACCCAACAAGAGCAAAGGTAAGGATGTTGGTTTTTTCATTGCCACAACATTTGCATCATTTCTTAGTATTCATCGGTGCAAATTATGAGAAGTACTATCATCTTCTACTTATTGGGATCTCTAGTAAAAAAGTCTATTAGGCTTGATTTTCCTCTAAGTCCTTTAGTCCTATAACTTCATTCCTTCACAGACTTGAGATATATTTCCTAGAAATCAATAAAGATGTCCTTTTTCCCCTTTTAAATAATGTTCGAGGGTTTTTTTTTTAACAATAAAGGTAATTTATATTCATTCTAAAAATACACCAGCTGAATAAAAAGTAAATGTCATATAAACCATTAGTCTTATGATAGTTAACTGTTTAACAGTGTAGAAAAAGATCAACCTTATGTATTATAAATAATTTGTATATTTTAGCTGAATTAACTATTCTTTTGTACAAAATCATTGTACCAAAATGAGGAAAAATTAAGTGAAATATTTCTATTTGGAAATCTTATATGATAAATATAATAACTTCAGTGAATCTATTTATCATATCACAACCTATATTCAGTAGGAGAAAATGAAAAATAAATTGCTTGGAGATAAAATGGACTTTTCTGGAAAATGTGTATGTACAATAAAACTCCCTTAGTTTTCAAGAGCTTAAAGTACATGAGAGGGCTTTTCTGTTAGTTGGTTAGGAAAATAAATACTTCTGAATCATCATAAATCATAACTTTACTTCTTGGCTTCACATCTGAAAATTTGATATTATTTTCTCTTTTATTATAGTATAATTAGTCAAATCAGTTTTGTTTTGAAAGTCTTTCCATATTGATGTGAAATATGACAATATTCATTATGTTTTACAGGCAGAAGCTTAACCAAGAATATTCTCAGCAGTTTCTGACTTTGTTCCAGCAGTGGGATATAGATGTGCAGAAAGCTGATGAACAAGAAGAAAAACTAGCTGTTGGTATTATGCTTAGCTTTATAGCTTTATAATTAATCTACTATTACCAAGTGTCAAGTAGGAAGGGAGAGGCCGGCCTTGCAGTACATCCATGGACCTTAGCCAGGTTCCATTGCCCATTGCTGGCTATGAGTTTGGTTCTGCTGAATGCAGAAGTACAGGCACATACCATACTCATAAAAGCTGTTGGTCTTTGCTTCGTAACACATTGTTAATATCAAGTTTGCTATTATTAATACTATGCAGAGGTTACAGTTTTTGGTAATGACAAAATCTAGGGTATGCATATGTAAGTGGATGGCTAAAGTAGGGTGAAGAACAAAAATCATTGGTGGAAAACAGGCCAAGAAACTGAAAGACCAGCAATATTGTAAGGATCATCTGTGTTGACATTGAAAGCACCAGGAATTAAGGCATGTTTTGAGTACTGTTGAGATTTCCTACTCAAAGACCAGTAGGGTTATTATATTATTGTATATAAGTGGTGAACACAAATTATCTAAACTCAGTCATAGTAAATGCTAAAATCTTAAAAATATTGATTTAAAAACTATTCCTTTTAAGTGTAATGTAGAATGAATTTTTGCTAAATTTTACCCAAATTGTTATTTCATAATTTTTTCTTTTACATTTGTAGAATATGTTTCGACAGCAACAGAAAGTTTTTCAACAGTCTAGAATTGTTCAGAACCAGAGACTGAAAACAATTAAACAATTATATGAGCAGTTCATAAAGGTTTGTTGTATTTGGTAACATAATACATTCTTATAAAATATAATTCATTTGTGGAAGTAGAAGATAAATTTTTTCTCAGTTTAAGGGAAAAACATTTTGCTTACACATTTTAAAATTCTTAACAGTTTTCCATTTTGAATGCATTGTTTTCGATTTAATTTAAGTGCTAAATGCTATCACTAAGTGTTACCACTTGGTGTAGGAACTTTAGTACTATATTTGACTCCTCCATCTCTCTTATTCTTCACATCCACTGCTACTGCCCTAGTTCAGAACCTCATCATTCTTTGCTTATACTATGAAAACTCTTAACTGATTTCTGTTTTCCAACCCATCCTTCGTGGGTCTGCCATATTATCTTTCTATAACATTACCTTTTCCCTCCTGAAAAACTGTTAGTAGCTTCTCATTCTAAATTCTTAGGTATTCAAGACTCACCCCCAAAAAATATGATTCTTTTTTTAATGCTCCAATTACTACATTCATCCATTACTTCCACCCCTCCACATAACGGCTTTCTCTGAACTCACTCACTCTGCACTTTCATGCTTTTGTTTATGCTCTTGCCCTAGAATACTTTTAACCCTTTTCCCTAACCTTCCTTTTAGTCTTATTCTTTTGCCAACTAAATTGGAATTAAGTCCCCATTTTCTACTATATAGCTACAGGAAGTTGTGCTTCTATTCCTTTTATAAAATTTTGTGTTATTTTTGTTTGTTTCTTCCAGTGAGAAGGTACACTACTACTGTACCTCCTTTAATAATATTTGATTTATGTCTGACATTTTCTATTCCTTTAGTGGATATTTTGGTTTTCATGTATTAGAATATTTTTATTTGAGATAAATAATGTGCATTGTTGAATATTAAAAAGTTCCTGCTTTTGAAAATTAATTGTATAAGTTTTGAACCTGAGATGAAAAGTGGTGGTTTGTAACTGAACTAGCCTTTTGTGTTTTAGAGTATGGAGGACTTGGAGAAGAGTCACGATTATCTACTTACTGGTGCACAAAATGAACTTAGAAAAGAAATGGCTATGTTGCAAAAAAAAATTATGATGGAAACGGTAAGTTATTATATTTAAAATTGAAAAAATAAGGATTATTGTAAGCATTGAAATATTTTATTTGCTGAAATATGTATAACACTTATCTAAACATTAAATAAATGTTTAATATCTCCTTTCATTTGACAGCAGCAGCAAGAGATGGCAAATGTTCGAAAGTCTCTTCAATCCATGTTATTCTGATGATTCTTTGAAGGAATAACTTGAACCTAAGTAATATGATACAATTATAACATTAGCTAAGAGGCATGTAAGTTTTTAGAGTGGTTGAAAATTCTGGTTTAAAATATTACATCATATTAATCATTAGCTTAAGTGCAAGACCCTTCTTCTTCACCTCCAAATTGAAGTTACGCGAGTAGCAGCAATTCCTAAATTATATGTACCACTGTGCTTTCAGCTCTTTAATACTAACAGTGATTTTTTTCTAACATTTGTCAATTAACTCTTAGCAATAAATATGATTTAATTTCAAGTTTTGGCTTCAGTGTATTTGTATCACTTCCAAAAGGTAGAAAGCACAGGTATAGATGGTTAATTTTGTTCTTCTTTAAGGAAAAAACCCCACAAAATCTGTTTTATACGTACACCCTTTCATGCATATTCATTAAGTTACACTACCAATTCTAATGAAAATAAGATTTCAAAAGAAAATACATTCTATTGACTTACAAAATTTATTAAACGCAACTTAAGTTTCCGTTCTGGAATAAATTAAACTGCTAAAAACCATTAACACAACCGAACAAGATATATAAATAATCCATTTTAAGACATGGATTTGTGAATGTCATTTCCACAACGACATCAAAATGCCATTTAATTCGGCTCAGTCCACAATTAAATGACACATGCCCTTAGTAATGATTAAGAGCATATCATTAACATACCTAATTACTTATGGTTTAAGTACTTCACATCTGTCTTTAACTATAAATTACACAGAATGTCTTATTTTTCAGTTTTAATATTCAGTAAATATATGGATGTTTTTACATTCATTTCCAAATTTGAACAGTTAATTCCTATATCCTGTATTTTAAAATGTGCATTTTTTTAACATAGAAAAACATATGAAACTCTTGATTTAATAAATATTAAATTGTTTCAGCATTTGTTTGAAATATTTGAGTTAAACTTACTATTTTTTGCTGAAACTACTTTCATTGAATCATTCAAAAACAAAAAATATGCCCAATAGACGGAGAAAGGAGTGACTTTGTCCTGTTTTTCCATATTTTAAATTCTAATTTTTGCTGCATAACTCACACTTATCTTAGTTTTAGGTTTTCCAAGTTTTTAAAAATGAATCCATACTGATTCTCTTTTTCTAACTGTGCTAACTTATGTAGGAAGAAATTAGTCCTCCACCATTAACAAATATCTGACATTAAGGGGACAGTTTACTTCCTAAATTTTTGCATTTTGTAAAGCCTTTTAAGCCAAAGTACATGCTGGAATGTAAATTTTAAGTATTATAAAATTTAATATAAATTTTAAGTACTATTCAAATTAAGAAGGTCCTTATTGAATTTACCAGTTGTTTCAGAGGCAAAAATAAGTACTCCAGAGTATTTTCTGTGTACTTAATTCACATAAGTATATATTTTTTCCTTTTTTAAAAAAATATTTATTTATTTGTCTGCACCAGGTCTCAGTTGTGGCATGTGGGATCTAGTTCCCTGACCAGGGATCAAACCCGGGCCCCCCACATTGGGAGCATGTAGTTGTAGCCACTAGACCACCAGGGAAGTCCCTATTTTTCCCGTTTAAGGAATATCAACTTTCAATCTTTAGCAATATGCCTTTTTCTTGCATATTAAGCTATAGTACACATTCATTACTCCTTTTTAAAAGAAAATTATTTCACCATATGGCTTATGGTCTACAGAACTGTTGGATAAAATTACAAACAGGTAAGATGGGAGTCCGAGGATTTGGATCACCAAAGACCCATGTGATAGTTCTATTATTCATAATGAGCAAGGTAAACACTTTTAAGTGAGAGTGGAAAGATGAGAATCAGTACATAATGTAGATTTTATCCCCGTTTTACCTCAAATGAGTAAAAGTGTACTTGAAGTAGCTTTAGCTGATATTCTAAAGGGAAGATAGTTTTGCTATGTTTTCATAAATTACTAATTTTCTTACATGTCAATTGTGCTTTAGCTACTGTTTTGTTTTTCACAAAGGGAAATGTTTAATGTCTACCTTTTTTTGTGACAATGAAGTTTAAACTCAGAATATCAAGGAACAAGTTGCCCTCACTCTGAAGATTCATTTGTTTTTCTGAACTGGTAAGATAAATTGCTCTTACTGACTACAAATTACAGAAGTTGGTATACTAAAGCAAGTATTTCGTTTTATACAATAGTAATTAACATACCTTTTTTGAAAATGGCTAATAAAAAATACCTATAACATCATTTGACTCAATAATTACACTATTACAATTCATGCACTTATGCAATATTATGAAAACGCTTGTCAATTTTTAGCGAAGTAAGCATCACCCTCAAGATGGCTAAAATCCTTTAAGTCCTGAATTTTTATGTAATCCTTTGGCAGAGAAAACCCCAATTGTCTGATAAGGATTTCTGAGACAAAGAGATTGCTCTTTAGAACTACAGTGGTTCACTTCCTTATACTCAGAAAATTGAAATTTCTTTCCTTGGTTTTGTTTCTAATTAATTTACAGATTGTATTACTCTGATAATACCTTGATAAAAAATGTTGCTACACAAGAGGGCTTTGCCACTGAAACAGACATAATGGAATCTACAGGACTTAATGTTTATATTAAAATATAACCTTATTTGATAGTATACTAGCCTCCTGAAAAAGGGGATTCCCTTCACTCATAGGTTCCCCTAACTGCTTCTCCTCTTTTCCTTGGGCTATTAGTCAATATGCTTGTGAACCTGTTCAGGTGCTTGATGACATGAAGTCTTGAAGATACTTAGATGAAGGTGTCTTGAAATTTGCAGGCACAAAGCACTAAAGTACCTCATCATATCAAATGAAGAAATGACCTTTAGAAGCAAAAAAGAAAATATAAAATGGATTATGGTCTATCTTTTCTAAAGCAGCAGCTATTTTTCTTTCCCCTCACCCCCTAAATTCAAACCTTAACCAAAAATTCTTCACCGAAAATAGTACATTTTATAGTTCATATTTGGACCTCACTGTAGTCCTCTAGAATATGCAGGGTATTTCACAGTTACAGAAACTGAGGATCAGAGTGGTAAAAGGTATAGACTAAATTACAAAAGCTGGAAAACAACAGAACTCAAGTCTTCTGACTCCATATCCTTTCAATTTTCTTCTGTGCAACAAAGCCTCAAAATTTCTACTAGAAGGGGCTATCAGTCATTATAATGAAATCATTTCATCATATACTTTTCTTATTCCTTTGAGAGTAGCTGTAAGAAAGTAAAGGCCTGGAAGAGACATCATAGTTGAGGGAAGGCACATACAAAATTGTGTTCTTTACAAAATTAAGCAGGGAGGTACACTAGTTAACTTTCCCAGAGGCTGGGGGCAAATGCTTCCTTTTAGAAAAAGGAGCCTCACAGCTCTGCCGGTGGAGAGGGAATTCTCACCAATGAGGGGAAAGATCTCCTTATCATTTACTTGAAAAACTCCGTCTGACTCTTTTCTCTCTGAAGCAAGAACCTTTTCCCTAAGGATGCCAAAGGGCACAATACGCTTATTTTGGTACACATAGTGTTTTTTTTGTTTGTTTTTAATTGTGGTCCACAAAGTGTTTTAAAGAAAAATTGAATTCGACTTTCTCACCATATCTCCACCACTGATGTAAAACCAGGCCAACTCATCATTACAAATTAGGTGCTCAAATTTTTAACACCTGATATTTTAATTCTGTTAATTCCATTTGGTAATACGTTCACTAAAAGAAACCCTACATTGAATTTTCAGATATTTTGAAAAATCACCACCTATTTCTTACATTTAGATTGTTTTGGAGCCCTAAATAATATTTATAGTGGATAGCAAATTAAAGGAAATTATTCTGATTTTTCAAAGATTTTTTAGAATATTGCCTGAGAAACTTTCAAGGACTAAGATTTACATCTCACCACTATTTGAAGAATGGAAGACTTCTGAATGGATATTAAGTTATTAACTTACTCTAAAAAAAAGTATAATACTATAGAACCTAGTATAAAGGATGATCAGATGTACCCCAGGGGTCCATGCACAGAACAGACAGGCTTTGTTTTAATACCTCTATCTAACAAATAGTGTGAGATTGTTTAAATTATCAAAAGGTTCAGTGTTTCTTTTAGCTCACTTTAATATTAGTTTTTGTATATCACTAACAATTTGGTGAAGTCCAGTGAGGTCTGGAGGTAGCAAAATTGTCCAGAACTAACATTAATTGAAGACCAACCAGAAAGATAATGTCTTAGTAAAATAAAAAATTTAGTAATGCCTCCTTTATCCACTTGTGTGATTAAAATGTTACCAACAATGATTTTCCTTTCCTCAGATAGCTAAAGCTTCTCTCTTATGCACCATAATTGTATTTTATAATCATTTTGAATAGAAATATATGTATTATCCAAGACACTTTTTAAGCAGGATGCAATTAATGAGAATTTAATTTGCTTGATAAGGGGCATCATTATTAATATAAATTTTGCACTATCCTCAAGGGCCATACAGATACGTAGGGTTGCTTACTTCTAGTATAAAATGGTCCCAGAACCTTGTACTGGGTAGTACTGTCTGTTCTGTTTTGTTTTGTTTCCTCAGTATTAGCTGACAGTTCTTGATACAATAGTGCCCACCTCTGCTAACACCAACTACATTTAATTTACCTGTTATCTGCTATAAGCCCATAATAATTCTAACAAGCTGGATTAAATAAGTCAGACACTAATACATGTTTGTAGTCCTTTGCCAGAGAGTGAAGTGATTTTTGACATCTTAGTACTGTTTTTTTGGTACTATTTTTTTAAGGTACACAGTTGTGTTTTTAAGGATTTAGGTGGTTGGAACCCTGATCTCCAGATATGTGGGCCGTTTTCAAACACAATATAAAGCAAGCTTTAAATAAGTAATTTTAAATGTTCAGAAACAGTTACTGTATAGATTAGAAAGTAAGGCTACCTGATATCTCACTGAAATGACTCATTTAAGCATAGTATTATCTGATATTTGTTAAAAATAAATAAAAATCTTACCAAAAAAGCACTTACCATTGCTATCCATAGAACAACATATTCGTCTACAAAATTATTAAAGTACTGGTCTAAAAATAAAAGACCTGGGCCAAGAAAGACAGTGTCTTGAAGATACAGTTCACTTTTGGTCATGTGAGCTATCTATAAAAAAGTAAACAAAATAATTTCACCATTAAATTTTAAATGTTTTAGCTTTTAGTTTCAGGGTAGGATTAACTAGAACTTTAATTTACTATTAAGACAAATAAGGATAAAGAGACCATTTATTTAATCTCACATTTGATATGGGAATACTGAATCTAAAATTTCTCAAATTCATAACTGGGTAGCTTATTAAAGTTTCTAATATTTAAATTCCTTGATATCAGAAGGTTATAACTGATAATCATTGCTGAACAAATAATTAAAAGAACTTACTATACACTAAGGAGTCTGTCTCTGAATCTAACATTCATTTACAGTATTACTTGGAGCACAAAGAACTAACTATTTATTGTGATGATAACACCATAAAAACCTACCCATTGTATGAAATAGTTTCCAGCTTTGTGTTTGAGGAACAAGTACATATTTATACCATGAATCATAAATTAAAAGAATTTCTTACCACCAATTTCTGTGAGATTTTAGCAAAGACACATCCAAACATTAGGGTATAAAGACAAGGATGCTTTTCAAACAAATTAGTTGCTGACTTTTTATAGATCATTATTGCCAGTATAATAATTATTCCTATGTGGAGTCCAGGTGACAAGACACTGGTACCCTAATGGATAAAGCAGAAAATCAGCACCGAATTTTAAAAATGCATTTATTACAATGCAAATATTTTCTAAGCATCTATTTTGTGTTAGGAACTAGAGACCTAGAGAAGAGTATGATAATGTATGGCCTAAAGGAGTATACAGACCTTAGCCATGCTTTTCAAACTTCCACAGAAACCTAGGGTTACACAGAGGTAATACAGTGCTTAGATGTTTGGTTCCAATTTTATATGAACACACATTTTAAACTAATAACCACTAAAAAAATAACATGATTTATTCCATACCAAATTTTACCATGCTGAAGGCCATCAACCCTCCAATTGCCAAGTTAACATATTTTTGTGCAGATATTGAAATAAAGCTTAACCTGCCACTTTTACACAATATCTTAATCACTGATTAGGAGGAGTTTAATTCTGCCCTGGTCTCTCTATATACCAATATCCCACCCCTGCCCCTGCCTTTTGCATTTAGACTACAAATGCCCTCTTACGTAACACTGTACAACCCTAACCCATTACATTTTTATCTATGTGAATCAGGATGCTCTCTGCACTGCTTATCCTAAACAAAATATTGAAATAAATTTGATTTTAAGGCTTATTAAATATATAACCACCAATTTAAATGTATCCATTAAAGCAGGCTTATTCTTGTTTATTAAGTCTATATGTTATAAATTAGAACTTACTATAAAATTACACGAATGATATTATAAGTATTACAAAATCATATCTTAATAAAACACTATACTATATAGTAATGTTATAAATATTTAGATTATTAAAACAGTGCTTTTACCTGTACTTTGGTTCTGTAAATTTTATTCAAGGAAATCTGCTGCTAAAAAAGTTGGAAAACCACCAGTTTAAGAGTCTGAATTCAACCACTCCTTAGACATAGTGTTTGATTTCTTGTCTTCCTTCAAACATTTAATGAATTATGTCTTTAGTAAAATATTCTAAAGTGGACACTGATCATCACTAGATCTCATCGTCTTTAGTGGAGCTCATGTTCCTGCAAGTATTCTATTTTATCATCCATGGTCAAGCAAAAAGTATTCTTAAGCATCTTATGCAGAATACTTTAATATTTCTAAAACAATTCTGAGGTTAACTGACAAAACACCTCAAAACACAACAAATTAAAATTTCCAAATATATCAGAACTTATGTATCTAAGTGAGTTTTATACTTTGCCTTTGAATTATGTATATAAAATATATTCATAAAGACTGATAATTTATGAATTATGTGGATTCCTTTGAAATAGCCTTAAGAGCCAATTTATAAGTCATTTAAGAGAATGAGTCTTTTTTTAAACAAAAAATGCTATATTTCTTTTTTTTTTTTTTTTTTTTTT